TTCCCTAGTTACACAGTTCACAACCATCTGCCCAAGACTGTGGTCTTGTAGTAATCTTACCCTGTGAGTGATTTCTGACAGATTTCAAGCTGTTCTAGTAAATGTGGTAGTAACTGTCCCATGATTTCATCTCCAATGCAGCACTGAACAACATTAGGTGTTTCATGAGCTCGGGTCATGATCCTCACCCAGGATTTATCAATATTAGAGAAACGCTTTGCTTCCTGTTGAAACATGATGATGAATGTGGAAGGGAAGAGATGGAAGAAGGAAGAGAGAAGAGGGAAAAGGCACTTGCAGAATTGGCACCCTGTAATCTTCTCACTAGAAGTCCCATGTCCAACTTCTACAGATTTTTCAGCTTAGAAAAACACAAATCTTTCTGCTTACACAAAATAGCTTACTTTATACTTGATTGTCAAGCCTGCTATCTACTTTCTCTTTCAATCATTCTTAGACAAAAAGACAGAAAATAGATTATGCTTGAATTTCATGCTTTACATTTGAAGATTTTTTTCTAAAAACTAAAGTTAATTTTTAACTTGAAAAGCTAAGTAGGAAAGTTTAAGATAAGGATTCCTAGGTTCTGCTAGGTTAGTGGTAGGTACTACTAAGCTAGCCTAACTAGGCTAGGCTACTACTAGGCACAATTCTTAAACACATATTGGTTAACAATTTAACAATCTAGAAATAAAAAGATCACCTAGCTCGCACAATTTTATTATTCTTTCTAACACAATACTTGTTGGCATTGTTTACATAATTTCTTAGCAAGACTAGTTTTGTGAAGTACCAAAAAAAAGGTTTATGTTACTCCATTAATTATGACATCACAGTTAAGTTTTATTCTTAAAATGCAGAAAACCAAACTGAAAAAATGCATGTCTGAAAACCTTTGGAAGCTGCTTTGCTATGTCACCACCAACAAAAACAGCTTCTAAATAAATCCACAAGTTCTGCACAGTCATCCAGTTCTCAATGATATCTGTTGTGTTGGAAAGATAGTGCACCCATTTCTGAATCTGTGTCTTGAAGGGTGTGTTGTATCTAAAATAAAAAGACGACACTTGCTTTATTTCAAGGAGGAAACAAAAACCTGCATATTACTCATAAGGATGAGGAATAATTTTGCTGCTTGTATCTTTGTCAAGTGAAAGTATAAAAACCTGTACTTGACTCAGTTCAGCTAGTTAGCAGTTATAAATCAAATCAGCTCCACCTTGCTGCTTTTTTCACATGGTGCATAGCACACCTCTGATCCTACAGAAGCTGAATAGGAGCAAGATGTCAATTTCACTCTAAGATAAGGTGGTTTTAAAAAGGGATTGTGGAATGTCTTGAAAGCTGCAAGACTCCCAGAGGTGTTTATCAACTGAACACTCGCTTTTGAACATCTGCCTGATCATCAGGTTCCGTGTTCCTTATTTTATCTGCGGCCTTTGGCATGTGAACCCAGACAAACTGAAGCTCATTTTAACTGGGATTTTCAGCACCTTCAGAATGAGGCTGTGAGCTATCACAGAGGGCAGAGTGGCAGCGCCTGTAATGTCCGTAGTATGCCTGCCACAACTAGGGACCGTTCCCCTTTATGCTTGTCACCACTTTCCTGGATGGATGAAAACTGTCCAGTTGATGACTAGGAAGTCTGAACTGCATCCACATGCTTTCAGAAGTATTTATTGGAGGGACACAGACAATAAATACCAGCCCATGAACAGTTCAAGCACAAGCAAGCTCTTTGGTTTTATCTAGATGTTTATTTTTCTTCTTCTCTGTGAAAGATAGATTTGTCCAATAAAACAAAGACTCTTGCTGATATTTTTATCTCTTCTCCCCCCTTCCCCTCTGTTTTTACTGTTACCTGTTACTCATGAGAGAGCCAAGAATCATCAAGCTGTCCTCCATGGTAGCAATTGTTTCTGACGTGCTGTCACCTCTTAAAAGAAGTTCCCCACGTGTTTTAAAGTTTGCGAAGATAAATGTTTTGTTGTCCCACTCAGCTATCACTTGTTTTAACTTCTGCTCAATGTCTCTCTCCTTCACAGCACTTACACAGATATCCTTTTAAATAAACAGGATGACAAAACAAGCTATGAATGGTTCAAGTCTCCAGTTTACAAATCTAACTCCTACTTCCTTTAACCCTAGTAAGGCTGATGAGCAATTATTTATGAAGTGGAAAGATCTACAGACATACAAACACTGCAGCTAATAATCTATATAGCACATCACGATATGGCCAGCTTTGGGGGGAATAAAAATAATACAGTGATTATTTTTCATATCTTTAATGCTGCAAAGCAAGGCACCTTCACAAATTAACCTGTGGGTCAAGTTGCATGATTAAAAAACAGGAGCTGACACCACAATATATTTGTGTCATCATTTTATATAGAAAGCTGAAATGATAGTCCATTTCTCTGTTCTTTCTTTAGAAATATTCTGTTTTCCTTCTTACTACTGTTACTACTATACTATTTGAGCAGATTGTTTCATTTCATGCATTCATTTCTCTTCCTTCACAATACCTCTATTTCCTCTTTATATCTTAATAGTGGAACTTCCATTATATTCCTCAGTCTGAATGTTTCACTTTCCACATCGAAGTTGTGTTCAGTGAGATCCATAATCCGCTTCCAGTGTCGAGGCATCATTGCTTTACTTGACATACGCTCAAGCAATGGGCAACATTCACTGAATTCCTCAATGGTCTTCTTTAGGTCAAAAAAGGCCTGCCATTCCTTTACACCACGAGGAAGCTTACAGCATCTATGTAGAAATAATGCAAACTTTTTAAAAAAGTTTCAAATATTCTTTCTGTTACCCATTCAACCACAGTATATGGTTTTAACAGCAGACCACACACCTTCCAAATTCAGGTTACCTGCAGTTTGAAGATTTTGTATATGATTCTGCATGTGAGAAAATCTGTTCCTAGTCTATTTCATTGACTGACAGCTGGGCAGGCACCTACAGGCTCCCCTTAAGGAGTGTAGCTGTATAATTATAACACACTTTGTTCAAGTGATCTTCAAAAATAATTGAACCCCTTTACATCCTGATTTCATCTTTTGGTGAGGCTCATGATATGCACTGGTCTGTGCTCTACAAAAAAAAAAACCTGGTTCCTCAGAACACGTAGGCTTAATTCTTTAAATAACTTGATTCCTGGTTTGATGAAAAGTTCAGCTTCTATGCATGCAATATATCCCATTTTGTAGGAAAACTAAGCAATTCACTAACTTGCCTTAGACCTCTAGGGTGAATCTGTCTTTCGTGAATAATAATATTAGAACAAACAAGTGAAATTTCCCTTCAGGAACAAAATAAATGGCAATTTTAATGTATATTCCAATCTCATCCAAAAAAAGTTAACCAAGAAGCTCTCTAAGGAATAACAATTCTCAACATTTAGAGTCCTGGCTCCTTTATTTTACAAAGTTGGTAATGGATATATTTTTCAATTAAAATTCACATTTATCATGTTTCAATGAAAAAATACATGCTCAGATATGATTTTTGGTGTTAACCTATTACAATCACATTCAAGAAGCAACAAAAGTATTTTAGGTGTCTTTACCACAGCAGCAGTTTCTCACCTGTTCTGAAACTCCAAAAGTTCACTGTTAATTTTTCCAGTGTCTAATTCCGACCAAAGAATATCATAGTAGCCACTGACTGTGTCAATGACATTGTTATACAGATTATAGAGTTTCTGTAACAGATTCAGTTGCTTCTTTATTTCAAGCAGCTGAGGATATCGAGTAACAGGCAAACCAAAAAGATCTTCTCCACCAGTATAAGTAATATATTTGCGAAAAAGATTATCAAATCGATTCTAAGAAAGAAAAAGAAAGAGATTAAATTAAATTAAATTTAAAAATTAAATATTCAAGATCTGGCATTACACTAAAGCTGCATTAGTGATTAAAATCTAATAAATACTAGAAAGATATACAGGAGATATTAACAACTTACATTGTCAACAGTTTTGTCAACAATTTTCATGAGAAAAGTAACTTTTTGTTAGCTTGGAGGCACATCTTTAGAAGTTGACAGGGAGGCCATTTACTCCATGTGGCACAGCGATAGAACAATAAATCCTAAGCTTGTACTTGAGAGAGGTGGAGCATGATGTGCAAGGCAAAGAAAGGGGGATGAAGCAAATTCTACCTCTCCAAGTACACTGGGCAATTCTTTTATTGAAGGGTTGAAGTAATAACTACTACTGTTTAAGCAACAAAGAAAAACAAAATTTAATTGTCAACTTCAGTATAACTGAGGGAAGATAGTAGGAAGCCAAATTAATAGCACTAGTGGAAAGGGAAAACCATTAGAACTCATCATTACAGGAATAGAAATTAATCATGGTACAAAGAAACATTTCAACAGGAAAAATAGTCAGTTTAAATGGAAATCTTTAATACTATTTTAAAAAAAAAAAAAAGGAAGAGAAGTGAAGAAGATTGTGCAGAATTGTATTCATGTGGAAAAGACACAATAATGAACACAAGAACAGCCAATAACTAAATATACTAAACTTGAGAGTAGGCTCTCATCAGGATACTTGAATCTAGTAATTATTACTCATTATCTATGCAGTCTTTCTCTGAGCTCCTAAAAAGTTTAATTTTAACAATTATTCCTTGCAAATGCATAGAAAACATACCAACTTAGCTTTCATTAAGTTAAAACAGACTTTGCCCAATCGGTAATCCTATGTATCAATGAAAATTAGTCAACTACTCTGATTCATTCTCAGAGCCTTCAGGTGTTAGTTTACTTGCAATACATATTAAGCAACATCTTAGAAATAACAGTACCTGAAACATAGTAAGCCTGTCACTGGCTTCCTGAGGCTCTAAACCAATCACCATTGGCCCATTCTAAAAATAAATAAATAAATAGTGAATTTCGAGGGTGCAAATAGCCACAACTTATTTCTAATCAGCATTTTCTAAATGCTAAACTCAAACATTTTTACAGCTGAAAGATTCCATCCCTACATCAGAACAACTGAACCAAGAGATCACAGTTGCCTACTAGAACAAGTACTTTATTTAAAAAAAAAAAAGGTGGCAATTAATTGGCTTTTTAATACAGAAGTTTTCATAATAGTGTAAAAGCTAGGCAATGGTAGCTCCCTTTTCAAGTAAAAAACAGCATTACTTAGAAGGTGATACAAGACTGGTTGTGCTTAACTCATTTATATTCCACTGAGAAAGAATATAAGAGCTTAAGTCATTTGTGTTTATAGCTAATGTCAGAGAATGCTTCTTACATTCTAAAATAATTTCTCATTAATCCAAATCTTCACATTTGCTTATGCTAACTAGCTGTTTATCATAAACCCTAAACATCTCCAGTCTTAACCTTTAAGAGCTGATTACCAGCATTACATACTTTAGTCACATACAAAAAATAACAGCCTGCCCTGCACTGAAACTCAGATACCACATTAACAAGAATAAACATTCTTCAGACAGTAGAGGCACACTCCATTAATTAGTCAACTCCACAGTCTTTCCATGCTCCCACTGTTCCTCAAAAACTCCTCTAACACAATACACCACAAACACTTGCCTGATCATAATCTGAATAGAACTGTGCACAGTCTTCAGTAAAAGTCTTCACAGTGCTAATAAGTTCTCCCCTGAAGTCTGGCTGCAAAGCAACAAGCTCATTCTGCACTTCATTTGCACGGACTAGTAGTTTTTCCCAAGTGTAGTGCAAAGTGTCCACCTTCTCTATCTCTTCCTTGGACACAGGTAGATCATATTTGTTTAACATAGCATAGGATTCCTGTTAGAAGGTTGGATTATGATACACAAAATGTTTACTGAATTTACACATATATTTACACATACACGTATGTTAACATTTTAAATTTTTAAGAACAGAGAATGATTTGTTAGAAAAAGAAAACCTGTTCTTTTTGCATAGCAATTATCACAGTCTGGCAAACCAATACCAAAGCAGAAGAAACACCAAAATGTTCTAGCTAGTTCTCCTTAACTCCTTGCCTTTCACATAGCATTCTGCTTTTTGATAGATTATTCACCCTAGTGCAAACTGCCTCTCTATAAAGCTGTTTCTAGTTAAAGTACTCCTTAAGTCTATAGGTTTTAGCTTCATTTTAATATTTTTTCTGATCCATGTCTTCAGTTATCTGCTATGACCCAAGTTGAAGCGTCTAAGCAGAGGCCTTCAAGTAAGCAAAGCAAACAAACTTCTATTCCTTAAAGACCTTTAAGCCCTACATCATGTTTTCAACAAAAAAGAAATAGGAAATCACATCAAAAGTTACCACAACTAATATGTTTAAACTATTTCAAATGTTATAACTATTCATCATTCCAACTGAAGAATCTACTTAAAAAATCTAGTTAATGATCCTTTGTTTTCTCAGAACATTGATCTCTACTTGTATTACCAACGTATAAACACTCCACATACTGAAACCCTTAGTCGAGTTTCACAAAAAAACCCTGAAATTAGCTTACTGTAAATTAGCATAGGATAGGGTAGCAATGAATCTTGTGGCATAACAGTTTCATCTGAAAATTTTTGTATAAATTGGAATTATTTCCATTTATGTTTTCCAGTTTGGTCAAATTGCAGACAAATTGCAAAAACAGAAATATAAATATCTGTATGCCACCCCACTGTGTGGAAAATACATCAATCTCCATTTCAAAAACCTGAAGCATGACTCCTTGTGCCTAGGGACTCGAGGCTCTTGGTTGCAGAACTGGAAGCTTAAGAATCCTTGGCTACCATAGCTTCTGCCTTGGCTTACATCACATGGCAAACCAGGACAGTCTTAGCAGAAACTTCCAAAATGTCATCTCCTAAGAGATCCCATTACCTATGACAATTACACAGAAGGTTCCAGCTGCAGATATGCTTTCCTTTTCACCCCAAACTACTTGTCCTGTTTTTGCTCCCTCACATAACTAGGAAGACTCTCACAGCTTCTAAGGGTGACAGAATCATTCTTAGCTGTATTCTGCAAAATATGGGAGGGCTCCACGCTCGTTTTCATTATCTGCACATATATACAAATACATACTGCATTCCATAGTCTACCTTAGCTCAGAGAAATCAGAAAACACAGGTGCAGGACATTTGTCTGACAGAAAACATAGGTTTTGTTTATGTTTATTTCAACCCATGATATAGATGATAAAGCAGTCACTCTCACACATTCTCATATAATCTGCCTAACATTGGCTTTCTCCTCTTCTGTAGGTTAAGCTAAAAAAAAAAGGGGGGGAGGGGAAGAGGAAAATCAATGCTTTTCATACACAGACTTCTTCCAAAGTACCAAAAGTTTTTTTGCATTGAATATCTGTATTCTCATCTTCCTCTTACCTAAATCACTCAATTTCTGCACTGTTCACTAAACCACCTCTTGCCTCAAGTTTACATTTGTCCAAATCAGAGTTGCATGCAAGAAAGGTTTACAGCAACACAACAGGTCTGCCATCCAACATTTAACACATATTAAATCATACCTTTTCAAAGTGTACTGTTAAGCTTTAATGCAGAAAATAGTTGCTCTGTTGAAAGAGGACCCATACATGCAACATTCC